AGGAGGTGCTGGAGGGAATGCAGCAGGGCTCGGCGCCTGCAAAGCCCCTCCTGCAGCTTCGGAGCTGCAGGACCCACGAGCAACAAGTGGCGGAGGACAGCGAGAGCTCAGCCCCCACCTGCAGAGCCCTGGGCCGGTGCGGGCACAGCGCTGGGGCCACCGTGCGGCTCCCGGGGCGCCTCTCCGCTTGGGCTGTGCCTTTTGTTTACACGCTAGAGGACACACAGTTACGTAAACACCGCAGGAGACACGCTGTATGAAATGGGGATGCCTAGGGGTGCTAGCTTTGGATTCGGGGGATGCCGGGTTGGTTGTTTCCTCCCCAAAACAGGCTTGCAAGGGAGCTCGGCTCGGGGAACATATTGGAAACGTATAGGGGTGGGAATCTGGCAGGCAGCTTCAGTTCCAGAGCTGAGGATTTTTTCTTCCATGCCACGGTCTGTCTCTCCGGATGTTGTTTATGTGTTTTTCCTCTGTGAATTCTTAATTTATGAGTTACGAGATAATTGGGTTCAGCCGATGCCGGTGTGGTTACAACTTCATTTCGGGTAATGTCTCTGACTGGATGGGTTCAATAAAATGTTCCTGAAAGAGGTTCTTCGTGCTGCTGCATTGTAAAAAGCGCCAGTGTCAGTTAAACGTGAGCGTGAGTAAAGGCTCGGTAACTGGCGCATAATAGAGGCAACAATAGACTTGTATTGGCTGCAAAAAAGGGGGAGGGGGAAGCGCTGGTCGCGGATATTGCCTTTCGACTAAAAAATTGGAGCTGTGCAATGCCGCTTGGCAGCAAAGTAGGATTAGATTATACCTCCTCTGTCAAGCCTGCTCATTGAAGGCACCAAGTAGTAACAGCAGTACTATATTTGTAACTATCTCGCCGGGAGAAAGAAGTTGCCTTCCCTGCGAGGGATATGTGCTGACTTAGAAAAAGGAGCGGTCTGGAACTCAACCGTGCATGTCAAAGCTACAAGAAAATTCTGTTGCCAGTTACCATGGAAGCAGCTTCTTGCTCTTGTGTACATCCCTGTTTGTACTCTGGTTATCAGATTGTGTTCAAATTAGAAAGTAATTGGACCTGATTTGTAGTGAGGGGGGTTAGATGCTTTTCAAATTCTTTTTAAAAATGCCTTCTTGTGTGTGTGTGATCAGTTTGAGAAGGGGTCATGGTCTAGCCCCAGGTCCTAGACTACCAGAGTAGATTTCAGGTGGGCACTGGGTGACTTTTCTTTCTTAGTCCTGTTAGTTTAAGCTTTCTCAGAGGCCTCCAGTTCCCACTCGCAGGGTTAGAGAAACCTGTTGGAGCTGTCCTCTAACTTCATTAGGCTTGTTTCATTTACATCTTTGCTGGAATAGCGATCTAGGGCCATTGTGCAGTAGATCCTGGTTATGTCTTCCCTTGTAACTGAATCCATCCATCCTTTGGAGAGAATCTCCCAGCCCTCCTGTGGTGTTTGGATGGAATGGATGTTAATGAAATGCAGCTAAAATGGGGTTTTCTAAGCTCACTCCAGTGTAAATCATGCCTGTTAGGTGTTAGGTGCATGCATGATGTTGTTTCTGATCCCGAGTAGACCAGTGGTTGGTCACCCTCCTCTTACCTTTTTCAGCATTATGGAGGGTGGCTGATGGCTGGGGGTTTGTGGTGGTGCTGGCAAGCCAAGAGGCTGAGTTTTGCTTGTTGTGGCCTGTTGAGGCTTGAATACCGGGGATATAGGGCCTTTACAAAAGTGCTGCCTGCTGTTGTTGGCTTCCGTGCATCAAATTGTCTAGCCACAGGAGGGACTTGCCCTTGTCTGTGATAGCTTTGATAAAATAGCCCTCATTAATGCCACTTTATATTTACAGTGTGTCACTGGAGACGCACAAGGCTTCATTTAGTGACTTGTGTGACGAGACAAGCTTGCATTATTTGCCTGGGACGTTTTGGAGGAACAAGAGACCCATTGAGCAATCTTTTGAAATGAACAAATACGGAAAAAGGGGGGAATAAAAGAGGAGGCAGTTCCCTGGAACAAAGAGCTTTATTCATATGGATGTTGTACATGCTTTATCCAGTTTTCTCGGTGGCCCTCCTGGTAAGGGGAGTGGGACCTGGAAGAAGCCAGCAGGCTGGACACTTTTGCATCCTCTCTCACTTCCTGACTTCATATTATTATCCGAGTTGGTTCTCAACTCCCTGACTGCTCACCTTACTCCACACCCTCTAAAACCTCAGAAAGTAACAACGGTTCCGGGTCTAACGGAGATTTTGAAATCCTTCCTCCCAACTCTGGATTTCAGTGGAAGAAAATGCTAGCTACCTGTTGAGATTGATGGTCGGTGGAGGGATATACTGGTTGAAGGGAAAGAGATGTCACCTTTCTATGACATGTGTCAAGAAGTGGTTGATAGTGAATGTCAGATTGGAAAGATGTCTTGAAATTATAATATTAGCCTGACTATTTATTTTCAAAGAAATGCTGTGAAAACCCAAATCCAAAATTTTCATTGTCATTAATGGTGCTCTTTAAATTTTAGTGACTTTTGCCCACACTTGCTACATTTTGGTTCCTGCATATGTGAATTCTTATTATTCCATGGCCTATGTTGCTAATGATTTTCAGACTTTAAAAATTGATAATATTTCTGTGAATATAAACTGTCTTATTCTCTGTGTTTCTGTATGTACCTAATCAGCCACATAGAACTTACATTTTAAAAATGGTTTTGTGTGTGTGTGTGTGTTTAACAAAAGGCCCAATTTTACATGTGACCTTCTTAAATTGGGCCAAACCAATTGATGCTGTGGCTTGAATGTAAATTTATTAGCATATGAAGAAAATTTTAAGAAGTAAATTTGAAGTGTTCAAATGCTGTATCTCTTTCTTGGGAAGACTAGTGCTGACCATTACGCTGGGCATTTTTACTGAAAATCCAGCACAGAAAGGAGAAATCACACAGCGACATCTGTTGCAGAACTGAAAATTTGCTGCTTTGAGTTGGAAGCAATTAGTCCCATACAAGTACCTAATGGTATCAGTTAGTGTGTGTGTGTCTGTACGCATACAAATATGTATGTATATACGCACATATATACATACATGCACACAGAGAAACTCACCCAGTACAATATTCATATTCCCATTTTAAAAGTATTTAATAGAAAATGTATTATTTTAGCACCAAAGCTTTTTTTCTTAATGTCACCTGTTGAGGAATTTGAGATTTTTATAATCATGGCATTTTGAAAGGGGAAGGACATTATTAGAAATCACCTGGCGAAATCCCGTTACTTTGCAGTGAGGCAGCTGAAGCCTGGCGAGGGAAGGATCTTGCTTACCA